CCTGTGTGAATCAAATCCAGGTTTTGACCTTCAAAAAGAAAGTTCCCCATTTCTCTCCATCCCAAAATGTTATCGTTTGTAAAGATGGGGTATAAACGTTGTTGGCCTGAAAAAGGATCTATCCTTCTGCTGAGCTTTAACCACAGTGATGAGATGCAAACGGGCCACTAGCGTGTTGTCAGAACTGCGCCCTGGAGAGCCTCTCTTCCCCAGGTTGCAAATCTATTCATTCAGAGTCCCCCATGAAAACTTTGCTGCTCTAGAGAGCCAGGCGGTGGGTGTAGAGAATGAGATTTTATGCAACCGCGTGTTACCACACTTAACGTTTCCTGTTTATGCTCCAGGAAGCAGAAGACCTGCTACAGCAAGGAAATAAGACCGCTGTAACTCACAAAGCCTTTGCTGCTGCTTTGGCGCCAAGAGCGGCGGAAGAGCCTGGCAGGTTTCTTGAAGAAACGGAGCAAGAAAGAAAAGCCAACCAAGGTATGTATGCCTTCTTCACTGCTGTTGGGACCAACGGGCTGCTCAGGAGAATTTCCTGTAGCACAGATGCGGAGGTGGAAAGGTCAGCTTTAGGCAGTCAATGATAAAGCAGAGGGTCAGTGTTAGACAGGATTAATGCTGCGCTCCTAGACACATTTACCAGGAAGCATCAGTGGGACCTCTGAGTAGACCTGTGTCGGATTGCCCTGAGATCAGGTGAAGGCTGAGTCCACTCATGGTGCAATGGCATGCGCTCTCATTATATTTTAACCCAAATGGGACGTGTGCATCAGATCGCAGCCTTAAAAACTGCCACCTTTCCTTTCAATGGATGGGCAGCAGAATCAAATACTTAGTTACTTGAAAGTTACTGTGCCCATCGGGGCTTGCTCCCAAGCAAACATACTTGGGATTCTAACTTATCGAATGCAGCTGCAAATGTTTACTTTGGTGTAAGGTGCATTGAGCTCAAGGAGATTTCATCCCAGGCGTGTATGCATGGAACTGTAACTTTAATCTCAACTCATTTAAGACACATTAAGGGCCATGTAGAGGGAGCCTCTGTCATTACGGGTATCTCCGCATTTCTCTCTGCACTTAATTTGTTCCACTCATACACATCACTCTAAGATCCTCAAACGAATGGTTATCTCCATTAGTTAATTAGAAGACTGGCTAATGATAAGGAAACAAGCTTCTTCATCCCCCTCTATAATTTCCATGCTTCAAGTGCTGGCCTAGAAGTAACCATGAAGCTCATAGGGAGAGCTGATGTTTTGCTGATTGCCTTTCACTATGTTAATTGCATTTGTTCACATTTAGGAAAGGTCGTCTCACCCACTTCACGGCCTGCACTGAGGAGGCAAGCTCGGATAGATCATACCCTGGAGTGTACAGCGGAAGACCCTTGGGTTAGAATTTCTGACTGCATCAAAAGTTTGTTCAACCCGAGCATGTCAGGAGACAGCTGCCACGTCAGCCTGCACCCCGGCATCGACACCAGCGAAGGCCACCCGGCCTCCAGTTGCTCGGAAACAGGCCTGCCACATTCGGATACGGAGGAAGGGGATTCAAAAGCACCCAGGTCATCGGATGAAGGTGACTTTATGAAGAAAGGTCCACCGGTCGCGCCCAAACCGGCTTGGTTTCGTCAAAGTCTCAAGGGCTTGAAAAAAGGAGCTTCCGATGGAATGGCTCTCAAAAGTGCCCCGGAGGGCCACTGCCAGAGCGTATCTGATAATGAACTGGGTTCCCTTTCCAAGATCATTCAGGGGCCCTCTAGAGCCTCGTCCATAAAGCAAAGAATAAGCTCCTTCGAAAGTTTGGGCACTCCCCAATCTCCAGGAAAAGGAGACCGGAAACTTAGCCCAAAGCTGTCGGTCCAGAAAGAAGGTTCTCCCGGCAAGAGGGAGCCAAAATTTGCTACAGCTGATTCTAGTCTTCTTTCGACCAGTACCAGTTCTGAAGATCATGGCTCGCAAGGCGCCCATCTTCAGCTCCAACTAGAAGCGAGAAGGTTAGATCCATCCTGTTGCCTAAGGCAGGAACATGAGGTTCTGAGTCCAAAGACAATCCACAGCGAACTCAATGAATCTGTTCTGGATTTGCTACCTCCAAAAAACACAGAACTGTGCTCACGACAGGTCTCAAAACCCCCAAGCCAGAGAGCCCGGAGTTTTCCTCTCACCTCACCCCAGTCCTGTGAGATGCTGAAAACCGGCGAAGAGAAATACAGCAAGATCGACTCCCTGAGCCACCACTTCTCGTCCGCCTTAATGAGGTCCTTTTATTCCCTCCCTCAGTCTCCTCTAGGTTCAGGGAAGAACCCGTGGCGATCGCCTGGTGGGTTGTCAAAGCCCTCCACCGAAGAAAATGGGGCCGCCATCTTGGATACCGAAGAAGCGCCTTCTCCAGACGCTGGCTTTTCTCTGAGGTAAGAGGATCAAGATTTGCCCTTTTGTTCACATTTTGTTCTTATCAGCAAACAAGCTTTTTTGCTTTACACGTTGGAGCAGTGATAGCTAACAGCCAGATTGGCACTCAGCCTGAGCACAGTACGGTTTGTGATGTGTATGTATATACACATATATATATAGGGTTTAAAGCTTCACTAATGCTCAGCCGCTGACACCCAAATGAAAGCATGGCTCCAGTTATGCCCCGGCGCATGAGGAAAAGTTGATTATGACACTTGAGCATTCTTCATTTCCTGTTCCCAAACTGGCTAGCCTCTCAGAGCTGAGGGACTACAGTTCAAGCCGGTCAGACCATGAGAAAGAGGAAGATGAGCGGAAACGCTGCGCTCCTCCGACTTTGGGTGTCTCCGGACAAGCTGTCATCTCTTTGCTGACGCCTGAAGAACTGGAGAAGCTGGTGGAAGAGGTGAAGTCCTTAGACGAAGCAACGTTAAAGGTACGGATGTTGTTTTGCCATTTCCAATATCTCCCTTGGCTTGGACAGTGACAAAGTGTTCTTTTAAAAAAAGACCCCATCCAATTATCTCCAGAGAGCTGCCTGTACTATCACACAGATTTTGAATGTTTTATGGGAAGCGGCTGGACATTTCTTTTCCAACTTGAACTGTTGTGCTTTCTTCTTCTTTCTGGGTCTTCCGTTTATCCTCCTTCACCAACGGTGGGTCTCCATAAACTAAACTCTTCTACTTGATCTAGGCAAGGACTTAATATCCATCATCCCTGTGATAGATCTCCTTATCTGTGCATGGGGGTCCTTGTCCCCCCCAAGAAGGACTGATGGATGCCTCTCCATGACCACCATGAGGACTACAGCCTCTACACTCAGGGTGGCCTATTATCTTGTGCACCATTGCCAATAGGCCACCCTGAGAGTAGGGGCTCTAGTCCTCATGGTGCATTGCTTTTTCTTCCAACAGTCGAGCAGAAGACAGGCTGTCCAAAGCTTGCTGCCATCTCAACAGGATGTGAAAAGCTGCCGCTGCCAGAATGGCCACCCCATTTCACCCTACAAAGTGTGCCAGGCGTGTCTCCCTCCCTCCCCCTTGCGCCAACGTGTCTTCTCTATACACAAGGACCCTTTTCCTTTTCTGTCTTTTGCACAGCAACTCCGCGACATCCATGTCACAATTCTTCACAAAGACGAAGGCGCCGGCCTCGGGTTCAGCTTAGCCGGCGGAGTAGACCTAGAGAACAAAGCTGTCACGGTAACTCGCTTTATTCCGCACCCTTTCTAAAGAAAGGCCAGGGTGTCGGCAGCTGGGGGCCGGATTTCAAAACATGTCCGTAGGCAATCAAACACCGGGTTGCCATGAACTTCCTTGCACCCAGGAAGGGAGGGAGGACGGATCCAGAAGAAGAAAAGTCGATGGATTGATATTAAGGGGACTTAAGTTAGCACAGAATGACTTCCATTCTGCTGGTTTCAGTGGGCTTATTCTAGGAACGTTATGAACATGTGGACATTGTCCACATTGAAAAATGGTGACTGCCGCCCTCCCAGCCCAGGGTGGGGGTGGCCAGGAGGGTCTCCTCCACCGTAGGCTCCATGAATCCCAGACTTTCCTTGTTGCTGGACCTGGTCTTTATAAGGTTACAGGAACAGGGTTCAAACTTCAGTCTCTCCTAGCCCCGAGGATCCACAAGGAGGTTTCGTTAACACCCCCCCATGAGCCCCTTCTCTGCCCAGAGTCCCCCAGTTGGGTCCAAGTTCCATTCCAGGGCTCCACTGGGGGGCTTGGACCAAGTTCAGCTAATGCTCCCCCCTCCTTGAAGGAGGGCCTTGGAGTCCCTCCACCTCTCTGCCCAGCTACTGCCAGCTATGGAGGAGACGAGAGCAACTCTCGATTGCCTAGCAAGTCAGGAAAATATTTGCACCTTGCTTAAGATGCCTCCAAGATACAAGTCCTCTTTGTGTGTTTGTGTTCGGGTCGGAATGATTCCCAACAGGTCCATCGAGTTTTCTCCAGCGGGTTAGCTTTCCAAGAAGGGACCATTCAGAAAGGGGACGAAGTCTTGTCCATCAACGGGAAGTCCCTGAAAAGCGCCACCCATAACGAAGCGCTGGAGATCCTGCGTAAAGCTCGGCACCCGAAGCAGGCTGTTATCGTCACGAGAAAGCCCCAGGAAAGAGAAAGGAGACTCAGTGCCTCTCTGGATTCCTCTGCGTCTGTGGGAAGTGAAACCTCAGCAGAATCTAGTGAGTATATTTCAATGATTATGATGATGCCGAAGAGTCTTTGAGCAATGTCACAAATGGAGTATAAAATGCATAGAACGAGCCATCTCAGAACTTTAGAAGGCCTCTTCAAACAATGGGAACGTAGGACAGAAATACGGAAGGAGGAAATGCTCAGAATTAGGTTGAATAGACAGATTTCCTAGTGATACCAGGAGATATCGGGTATTTATCCCGATAACGTCTGCATGCTAGATACACGGTCTGCCATTGAGTGACAGCTCTTGCCACCCAGTAAATTCCCCTTTGACAGTATCGTGTTTTTATACAGCCTGTGAGGACCTGATCTTCACAGTAACCCTGGAGAAGACCTCTGCTGGGCTAGGGTTTAGTCTGGAAGGAGGGAAAGGCTCCATCCATGGAGATAAGCCAATCATCATCAACAGAATGTTTAAAGGTATGTTGACAGTAGAATACTGCACTGGTTTTCTTCAAGTGGCTTGTACCAGGATGTTCAGTGGAGTCCCGATGTTTTGCTCTCATGTTTCAGCTGGAGACAACGATGAATTTTAAAAAAAATCTCTACTCTGCTTGGAAGCACTTTTAAAAACTCAAAATACTCCAAGAAACTAGAAGAAAACAACACGTGGGCTGAGGAAAGGTTTCACTGAAAGCCTCTGTGCATTATTATATGGGACCCAGCAAAGTTAAAGTGTAGGAGGCTAGAATTCCTAGCCTAGTAGCTTGGAGAGATGGGATTTTCATACGTTCTGGGTTACAAATCCCACAACTCTCCATTCTGGGCGTTCTGCCTGACAGGCAGACCCCTCAGTGTGGCTCGCCTGGGAGAAAGGCCTCCATTGGGAAGCTCTGAGGATGAGCTAGGCCTAGCTCTGCCCAAGCTTCCTTTTCCTGCCCCAGTGGCAGCTGGGAGCTTCCTTTCTGAACAGGAAGCCAGGGCTAGTTGAGCCTCAAAACGTTTCTTCCTGGTGAGCTACGTTGAGGTGTCTGTCTGTCTGTCAGAACTCCCAGAATGGAAGAGAATTACAGAATTTTGTATTCCACATGATAACAAAATAAATGAATGAATGAATAATTCTTCACTGAGTTTAATATCAAAAGAGGCAGACCTTTAAAAGCGGAGAAAACAGAGGCCTCATACTGTGTTTGCTTTCCTCTTGTGCCATTCCCTTTTTTATGCCAACTCAAAAGAGCAAAAATAACACGTAAACTCATGTTCTATAGCTCAGCGGCATGCTATGGATTTAACGATGTGCATAGTTTTATTTGGGGTCCTGTTGAAGACAATGGGGCTGCCTTCCGAGTAGACACGGGTAGGGCTGCATGGTGGAACTCACACGGGCCATGAAAATGCTAAATTTGGGCCAACTCACAATCAAGCTTCTTAATTATCATTTATATAGTATCGTCAGTGTGCGTATGATGCTTTCCATGGGGGAAAAAAATAGATTGGGCCTTGCCAACTGAGTTGAATTCAGGGGAAACAGCAGAGACAGGAGACATTGGGAAAGGATGCATGGCTGTTTCGTTTACACGCATGCAGGATGCATTGCAAAGACAAGCAATGCCTTGTCCAGGACTTTCCAGACTGATCTTACGCAACTCTGCTGGGCTTAAATTTCACACGCTTTCTGCAGAGGATCACACCTCTGGAAAGCGCCACCTGCCTTATCAACCCACGGGGAGATAAGAAACAAATAAAACCTCTCTTGTCTTCCTTCAGGAGTGGCCTCGGAACACAGCCCCGCGGTCCAGCCTGGGGACGAACTCCTGCAAGTCCACACGAGTCTAATGCAAGGGCTGACCCGTTTTGAAGCCTGGAATCTGATCAAGACATTACCCGATGGGCAGATCACAGCCGTCATCAAGAGGAAAGCCCCAACCAGCGGAGCTGGCGCTGAATCTCTCCACGGAGAGGAAAACCAGTTGTAGTTGACATAGAGAGACCGTGTCCGAATGGATGCCCTTTTAAAAGAAAGGTCAATGTGTGTTCATTCCTTCTCCCTTCCTCCAGCTGCTCTCACTGCCTATGGCCAGATGTTCTTTGTAAGCTCTGAGAAAGAGGAGCAGAACTGAGAATAAGAGGAGGAGGAGGAGAATTAGACATCGCTTGTCTGTGGCCTCAGTAATCATAAAGTACGTAGCTGCAGCACGCTGTACGTTCACTGAATGAGGCTGTTCATAAGCGAGGCCCGAGGAGAAACCTGTTGATCCGCTTGAGGGGGGAAGTGATGCCATGATTAACAAACTGGGCTTCAAGTGTGTGACGTGGGGGTGAAGCCTCTCCGGCCAGGGCTGCAGGCCAACAGTACCCAGGACAGATTTGGGATGCGCGCGATCCACTTGATGGACAAGGAACTGCGTAAATGCCCCTCCATCCCATGCAAATAAAGGGTTGTTGCTTTGATCCTTCAAAGACAGATGTGCAAATATCGATTGTAAAGAATTTCCCCAAATCTATACTGGTTTAAGACCTGCATTAGACTAACCAAAAAGGTATGAAAATATGTGCAAGTTCTGCAGATGTCAGGGTCCCAGGACAAGGTGGAAAAGCAGAAGCTCATAATAATGTAGAACCCTTGATGTCTGCTTGACCTGATCCCCTTTAGGAAGCTTGCTGACCACCATAACACAAA